GTTTTCTCTGGTTTGGATGAAAGCGATTCTGGGAATAGAAAGAAATATCCATTTGAATTAGAAAAAGCAATACATAATGTAATGTTTATTCAGCATCATATTCAAAGACAAGATCAATTTAATGCGGTAAGGATTTTATTATAATCGATTTTTTGTTTAACGATTGCAGAGTGCAAGTACTAAGAGTTAAATACAAATTACACAAAAAAATCATAAAAGAACTTTCTTAGTCAACAACCAGAGATTCTTTGCAGAGATCCACTCATCAGTTGTTTATTGCTTGCAGCTAAATGCTAGATCATGAAAGCCATTTCTAAATCTTGCTTCGTTTTTTGGAGATGGATATTAACTTTTCTTTCTTTTCTTAATCATTACATTACGTTTACTTCTTTCGAAATAAACAGACCCAAATCGCAATTCGAAATTCCCGTTCATGGACTAACAACAACCTCTACTCAACAATGTATGACACCCATTGTATCATCACAAACTGAACACGTGATGTTAAGAAGTTACGATATTATCACGTTTGTAGGTGTTATTTATAGATATTATCTCAAACGAAATTTTTGTGTCAATCACCACTTACATACGAGGAGTGATAATTAGGAGTTGTATTGATTGAAGATCACCCGATTATACTCTAAACATGAACACAAATTTAAAGCGGGTGTTTTTCAACAATTATTTAAATTAATAAACATCAGGAAAATTTGAACTATTCCTTTTCAACCTCGATTTCGCATACTTCAACTTAAATGGATGACTTTTAAAACGTGTATAAAATAAATTATTCATTCTGGAAACATTAAATTTGGTATAACATAACACCAAACATTTCTTTACAACCTCAAAAAGTTTCATTTTTTAATTTCTAACCGTTTAGGAGAAAAAGCTGTTTTCTTTAACATCACTGTCAGAAAATATCAAATTAAATGGGCGATTTTTGAATATTTATATAAAGTGAATTGTTCACTCTGGAAACTTTAAATTTTAACAAACGTTCCTTTATAAACACAAAAAGTTTCATTTCTTAATTCCTAAGTGTTTAGATGAAATCTTTTTTCCTTTAACCTCTCTTTCAACAAACGACAAATTCAATGGACGATCTTTTAAAACTTATATAAAATAAATTGTTCACTCTGGAAACTTGAAATTTGATATAGTGCATCCTCAAACGTTCCTTTACAACCTCAAAAAGTTTCATTTCTTAATTTCTAACCGTTTAGGAGAAAACGCTGTTTTCTTTAACATCACTTTCATAAAACGTCAAACTAAATGGATGACTTTTTTAATATTTATTGATATTTACATAAAATGATTTGTTCATTCTGGAAACCTTAAATTTTGTATAACGTATCCTCAAACGATCCTTTACAACCTCAGAAAGTTTTATTTTTTAATTTCTAACCGTTCAGGAGAGTAAGCTTTTTTCTTTAACCTCACTTCCAAAAAACATCAAATTAAGTGGGTGATTTTTGAATATTTATATAAAATAAATTGTTCCCTCTGGAAACTTTAAATTTGATATAGTGCATCCTCAAACGTTTCTTTATAACCTCAAAAAGTTTCATTTCATAATTTCTAACAGTTGAGCAGAGAAAGCTTTTTTCTTTAACCTCATTTTCAAAAAATATCAAATTAAGTGGGTGATTTTTGAATATTTATATGAAATAGATTGTTCACTATAGAAACTTTAAATTTGGTATAATGCATTTTCAAACAATTCTTTATAACCTCAAAAAGTTTCATTTCCTAATTTCTAACCGTAGAGCAGAGAAAGCTTTTTTCTTTAACCTCACTTTCAAAAAACATCAAATTAAGTGGGTGATCTTTTAAAATTTATATAAAATGAGTTATTTACTCTGGAAACTTTAAATATAGTACAACGCATCCCCAAACGTTTCTTCATAACCTCAAAAAGTTTCTTTTCCTAATTTCTAACCGTTGAGGAAAGAAAGCTTTTTTCAACCTCATTTTCAAAAAACATCAAATTAAGTTGGTGACTTTTGAATATTTATATAATATAAATTGTTCACTCTGGAAACTTTAAAATTGGTATAATGCATCCTCAAACGTTTTTTTTATAACCTCAAAAAGTTTCATTTCCTAATTTCTAACCGTTGAGGATTTTTTCTTTAACCTCACTTCCAAAAGACATCAAATTAAGTGGGTGATTTTTGAATATTTATATAAAATGAATTGTTCACTCTGGAAACTTTAAATTTGGTATAATGCATCCTCAAACGTTTCTTTATAACCTCAAAAAGTTTCATTTCCTAATTTCTAACCGTTGGGGAAGGAAAGCTTTTTTCTTTAACCTCACTTTCAAAAAATATTAAATTAACTGGGTGATTTTTGAATATTTATATAGAATAAATTGTTCACTTTGTAAACTTTAAATTTGGTACAATGCATCCTCAAACGTTTTTTTATAACCTCAAAAAGTTTCATTTCCTAATTTCTAACCGTTGAGCAGAGAAAGCTTTTTTCTTTAACCTCACTTTCAAAAAACATCAAATTAAGTGGGTGATTTTTGAATATTTATATAACATAAATTGTTCACTCTGGAAACTTTAAATTTGGTATAATGCATCCTCAAACGTTTCTTTATAACCTCAAAAAGTTTCATTTCCTAATTTCTAACCGTTGAGCAGAGAAAGCTTTTTTCTTTAACCTCACTTTCAAAAAACATCAAATTAAGTGGGTGATTTTTGAATATTTATATAACATAAATTGTTCACTCTGGAAACTTTAAATTTGGTATAATGCATCCTCAAACGTTTTTTTATAACCTCAAAAAGTTTCATTTCCTAATTTCTAACCGTTGAGCAGAGAAAGCTTTGTTCTTTAACCTTGCTTTCAAAAAACATCAAATTAAGTTGATGATTTTTGAATATTTATATAAAATAAATTGTTCACTCTGGAAACTTTAAATTTGGTATAATGCATCCTCAAACGTTTCTTTATAAGCTCAAAAAGTTTCATTTCCTAATTTCTAACCGTTGAGCAGAGAAAGATTTTTCTTTAACCTCACTTTCAAAAAACATCAAATTAAGTGGGTAATTTTTGAATATTTATATAAAATGAATTGTTCACTCTGAAAACTTTAAATTTGGTATTATGCATCCTCAAACGTTTCTTTATAACCTCAAAAAGTTTTATTCCATAATTTCTAACCGTTCAGGAGAGAAAGCTTTTTTCTTTAACCTCACTTTCAAAAAACATCAAATTAAGAGGGTGATTTTTGAATATTTATATAAAATAAATTGTTCACTCTGAAAACTTTAAATTTGGTATGATGCATCCTCAAACGTTTCTTTATAACCTCAAAAAGTTTTATTCCATAATTCCTAACCGTTGAGGAGAGAAAGCTTTTTTCTTTAACCTCACTTCCAAAAAACATCAAATTAAGTGGGTGATTTTTGAATATTTATATAAAATGAATTGTTCACTTTGGAAACTTTAAATTTGGTACAATGCATCCTCAAACGTTTCTTTATAACCTCAAAAAGTTTCATTTCCTAATTCCTAACCGTTAAGGAACCGTTTAGAAAAAATGGATAACTTTTTTAATATTTATTGATATTTACATAAAATGATTTGTTCATTCTGGAAACCTTAAATTTTGTATAACGTATCCTTAAACGATCCTTTACAACCTCAGCAAGTTTTATTTTCTAATTTCTAACCGTTGAGCAGAGAAAGCTTTTTTCTTTAACCTCACTTTCAAAAAACATCAAATTAAGTGGGTGATTTTTGAATATTTATATAAAATGAATTGTTCACTCTGGAAACTTTAAAATTGATATAATGCATCCTCAAACGTTTCTTCATAACCTCAAAAAGTTTCATTTCCTAATTTCTAACCGTTGAGAAGAGAAAGCTTTTTTCTTTAACCTCACTTTCAAAAAACATCAAATTAAGAGGGTGATTTTTGAATATTTATATAAAATAAATTGTTCACTCTGGAAACTTTAAATTTTGTATAATGCATCCTCAAACATTTCTTTATAATCTCAAAAAGCTTCATTTCATAATTTCTAACCGTTGAGGAGAGAAAGCTTTTTTCTTTAACCTCACTTTCAAATTAAGTGGGTGATTTTTGAATATTTATATAACATAAATTGTTCACTCTGGAAGCTTTAAATTTGGTATAATGCATCCTCAAATGATTCACGTTTAGGTGAAAAAGAATTTTGATGACCTTTTAAAATTCATATAAAATAAATTGGTCACTCTAGAATTTTTAAATTTGGTATAACGCATCCTCAAACGCTTCTTTCTCAATTTATATTTTATAGAAAAGCTTTTGAAATCAATACCAAATTAAATTATAATTGTGTGGTTAATTAATCAATTTTCTTTATAATTTCAGGAAGACCAAGATTGGGGATTCGTCGCAATGGTATTAGACCGTTTCTTTTTATGGATTTTCGTAATCGCATCAATAGTTGGAACTTTCGCCATATTATGCGAAGCTCCAGCTTTATACGACGACACTAAACCCATCGACACCGAGTTATCCGAAGTGTATCGTCAACAGTTTTTACCAGAATTAGAAAATTATTAAATGGTTACTTAAGTAATAATAATTAAATTAGTTTTAATCGTAACTAAATTTAGATAATCGTTAAACTTATTAAACCAGTTAAGTTAAAAAACACTTTTTTATTTATTACCCATCAAAATCATTCGATTAGTTTCAATCAAAAAAGGGTGGTGTTATAAACTGTCGGTGATTCAGCAAAAGTAGCAACAGGTAAAATCACGTCACATACACCCTAATATTTTTTTTTTTTTGGCCCGATATGAGCAAACAACCGTTACGCAATGAATATGCAACTTTATTTTTCGATTTTTTAAAAGGGGTGCGAAAGAAATTAGTAAGTCAATCTAAATTTATTTTTTATTTTTTTTATTTATCAGTGAATTGTGTCTGCATGCGGCACTCATAAACCTACCAAGACAAAAAAGATACATAAAAAAACTCTAACGATATTAGCGGCATGGCGCCACCACTTAAAAAAATCCATTGTTTTCCTTATCTTACTGCGGATACGCTTTATCAGATTATAAACGGATCTGACATGAATTGTCGATGTCTTTACTACGTGATTTTTTGTCGAATTTAACATCACAAACGTGTTTGTCAATGTGCCGTTAAAAAACATGTTGCAGCAACTTTTAGAAATTTATTAAACATTTTTTAAATATTTTTTACCGCACGCTACAACAACAACTCCTACTGCAGAATATAACCGCATTTTAACGCGTGGTAGTTGGAGACATTGACGTCACCACATTTCTCATATGAATCAGCGATAATGCGACCGTCGTGGGATTTCCCTTCTATAAACCGTATGTCCGTAGTAAGAAGTTAAGCGTGTGTTACGTGGGAGACCTTGTAAATGCTAATTTCAATTTTCCATTCTATGCTTACACATTTTAATTCGGTGCTAAAAATAGAAATGAAATAAATAACGGAAAATAATATAATATTAAATTAATTAGTAATGTAAGGGACAATTTTAGTGGATAAAAAAAAATTGGCAATGTTAAATGAGTTGTTTATGCGCATGTGTTGTTGGCACGAGCCTCCCCTCCTATCTACTGTTGTGGATTTTGAAAGGAACCCGCTGGAGAGTGAAACACCATTTGACTTGGTGTTGTTGTCTAGAACGCAGGTTCTAATAAATCAGTTATGGTAGCAAATTGTGACGTCCTTATTGCTGACAATAGTGTATCATCAACAATGCCAAGTAGTTCGAAAGTTGTCTTGGAGACTTCTCCCCATACCAAATCGGAAACGAGGAGAAATAACAAACCCATCATGGAAAAACGGAGGAGGGCTCGAATTAATAATTGCCTAAACGAAATGAAAGCGCTAATTTTAGAAACAACAAAACGAGATGTAAGTTTAAAAATCATCATTAAGTGACATGTTTGATAATTTCGATTTATTTTTAGCCCGCACGTCATTCGAAATTAGAAAAGGCGGATATTTTGGAAATGACGGTGAAATATCTTCAAAGCAGGAGAAGAAGGGACCAATCCACGTTTTCTCATCCAGATCAATTTAAAGCGGGATTCGGATTTTGCTTAAACACCATCGCGAAATTTCCCGGATTAGACATTGGGACGAAAAAGAAACTTTTGCAACATATTTCTAGTTATTGTAATAATAATATTCAACAGCCACAAATGGTTATGAATCAAAACCAAAATAACCAAAATAATCAAAACAGTAAAGTTTTATTGGCAAACGTTTCTCTTTTATGGCCGAGTGGCGGAACAGTTCAAACGATTTCTGCCAATCCTAACAACCACTTTATGCTTTCGATTCCACAAAGAACACCTTCAACTCTATCTGCGTCATCTTCAAGCTCCAGGGCGGATACGCCGGAGATTATGGATGACGATTCAATGAAACCACTGTCTTTGGTCGTGAAGAGGCGATTTGAAGACGAAACACCGAGCGTGTGGCGACCTTTCTGACCTCTAATTATGACTTAATTGCGAATTTGTGATATTAATCCTTGCCATATTATTTATTTTTATCATATTGACAATGTGATTGTAATTAATAATGTAATTAATCCAAATAAAATGTAAATATTTTAATTTTTTTTATTAAAAAAAATTGTTTTAATTTCCCTTAAAATAAAAGAATTCGCAAAAGATTGCAAATCGACACAAAAAAAAGGAGCTAATACTATCTCCTACCTGTGCCACAGGTGTCAAGGAAGGAGGAATTTGTTTCTGCGCAATGTTTCCTCGACCACGAGGTTAACCCCCACCTCAAAAAAGCATCCCAAACAGAACGACTTTGGAGGCAGCGTCCCGCAGGACGTCATTCGTTCGCGAACTCCACAAGTGTTGAGAGGTTCAAATAAATCGAAACGCGACAACTAAAATTCTTCTCGTAATCTTGTTTCATTTAAATCCAAGTGCAATATGGTGACAACCGAAGACGTTAGTGTATCATCATCAACAATGCCAGGAAGCAGTGCCATAACACATCAAAATTTGGATCAAAAAATCGAAAAGAAATCCGAAAACAGACGCAGCAACAAACCAATCATGGAGAAACGAAGAAGAGCAAGGATTAATAACTGCCTAAACGAACTAAAAGGCTTAATTTTAGAAGCAACTAAAAGAGATGTAAGTTAATTTAATTTTTTTAATTAATTAATTAATGAGTTATTAATTAATTTTTTTATATTTAGCCCGCCCGACATTCCAAATTAGAAAAAGCCGATATCTTAGAAATGACCGTCCGATATTTGCAAGACAACAAATCTAAAGAACAATCGATTTCGCCCGATACATTAAGCGCGGGTCATTTCAAAGCGGGATTTACAGTTTGCGCGAACGCTGTCTCAAAATTTCCCGGATTAGAACCATCCGCGAAAAGAACTCTTTTACACCACATCTCAAACTGTTGGAATCAACAACCCGTCGTTTTACCATCGACGAACGAGATCCAACAAAATCCCAGGATCCTATTACCCAATAATACCTCAATACAAATAGTTCCTAACTCGAACGGCGATATTTTTTTGTTGCCGGCCACGCAAAGTACCCAAAATTTACCTCTGTTAGTACCGATACCTCAAAGAACGGCTTCGACGTGTTCATCGGCTTCGAGTTCTCGATCGGAAAGTCCGCAAGAAATCGAGGATTCCCCGAAACCTTTGGCTTTGGTGATAAGGCGAGAGGAAGATCATAAAAAGGAAGTTTGGAGACCATTTTAAATTTGAAAAATTTTAATTTCATTTTAATCGACTTAAAAAAAACGTGTGATATTTAGAATTCCTGAATGCCATATCTTATATTATAAATATTAATATTTACTCGATAAGGTACCATATTTATATTATCGCGAGTGATTGAAAAAAAAATTATTAATTTTTTTTACTATTTTTGTATTAATAACGTTTATTTTTTAATTTGTACAAAATTATTACGTAGGTGTATATGAAGGGTGTTTGGAGTGTGATAATTTACGATTAATGATTGTGACATACCTGTGCCTTAATAGATATGTAATGAAAAAATTGAATAAAGTATTTATTTTTTTGTATGATATATGATGTTTTGTCTCAAAGTGTTTTCCTCATTCACTGATGTTAATAATATTATTCGCTTATAATGTAAGTATTATTGTTTTCAACTTAATTTTGCAATTATTTTCGAAAAATAACTTTCTTTTTTGCATTTTTTGTATCAGATCGTGTGTGGTCCAAAAACTTAACCCCACCAATTTTCTATACCAACACCACTCAAAATCTAGCAGTTTTTAGTTTCGGTGGCCCATCAGAGAGCTATTAACCCAAGACCACCAATGAACGTGCAATTAGACCCTAATTGAATTGTTTTGTTTTTCCCACATCACCCAAGAAGTTTTTGCTACTTCTCATTTTTTTTAACTACAACTTAAAACTGCTTTTTCCACGCTTGACCCATACCGATGAAGTCATAAACCCAACCCGTATGATTAAGACATATGGGTTCCTTAAATTGGTGGTTTTAACCCGATGAAATTAATCGAAGGATTTATTTATTTTTTTTAAGTCTTATTGAAATTAATATTACAAGTACTACTTAGTGTAAAGAACTAAAATTATTTTTTGGGGATTTTTAATTTTAAAGATTCTTTTTTTGGAGTTCAATCTGGGTGGTCCAGGTACTCTTCGGGTTGATTCGAAAAAAACAAAGGGTCGGAGGGGAATTTAATAAACAATCGGGCGGTCTGGGACGGTGCGTTAATACAGCAATTTGGGTCGGCTGCGATTCGATTTTAATAACACGATGTCTGTCCTCCGGTTCGCTACTAAACGCCCAGATTAATAACGCCGTAAATTGGCCGAAAAGCGCCTTCCCCGGATCCCCGCTTCGTCGGCGTGGAAGCGCAGTAAAAAGCCGGCTCCTCCGGACTCGGGGACCACACGCGCGGCCCCCGCCGCCATCGGGGCAAACACCGAGAATTAATTAGTGTGGAAATTTGACCTCTGAGAAGGATACAGCTCAATCGGACTCTGCCGCTCTTTACCTAACAGGTACGACAAACCAAATAAAAAAAATAACAATAAAAACCGATATGTAAATTAGGTAGACAAGAAATTCCTTCGTGGAAAAACGACTACTCATTCCACAAAGAAAAACGTTTACTAAAAACACTTTTAACCATTAAAATGAAAATTTCTTTCTTAATTATTATTTATCCCAGCAATTATTTAAGCAAAACTATCTAACGAGCAGAATACAGTAAGTAGAATGGAATGTTAGTAGATTACATTAATTGCATACTCTGTTACAGCGGCACCGGATATATGGGTGCCTTAGGTGTGTATTAAAGTTTTAATGTACCACAATTTACCCAGTTATTAAGGTTTCATTTTAATCAAAACTACCACTAAACTTAAATGCAATCAAGTGGTATAATAGTAATTATTATACTTACTAATATACCATTATACATAGGTTCCGAGAATTTGTGTACTGCACCATAGAAAGTGGAATTGCAAAGATCACAATCCAGACATCAAGGGTAGTAGAAACTTCATAACAGGAGTTTACAATGCGGGTTAGGTACTGAATGATGTAATGGCAGAAAAGTTTGGGATGTTGTGTGGATGTCTAAATCAACAGCAGATAATACCAGACAACTATCACACATGCTGTCCATTGCAACCTCTGGATCTTGATATACTCTGAGAGCACTAACTCCTTGTAATAGCTGTATAAGTCTTGGCATAATTTTAATCACAAATACCAGAGTGAAAATGACGACAATTCCTATAAAAATTTTTGATCTAAACCTAAAAAGTGCAAAGTTATCATGATAAATGATATTTCTTTAAAACCTTTTTAGTATGATAAACCCTTAAATTTTCCAACTAATTCTAAAAGTTTATTTCATTTTAATAGTATATTAAAAAACAAGTTTCGTAAGACACGCTTGAAATGCGCGAATTCAAGTTGAAAAACGAGTGGCGAAGCCACGAGTTTTTTAATGAATGAGTGGTTTTTATGCTATTTTTTGTAATTCGCGTTTCTATATATTTTTTTAACACAAATAAAGTAAATTTTGGCAATGTAGGGAAATAGGTATGTAGCAGTTGGTAACACCGGAACACTTGGAATATAGAAACTTTGAATTGACAATTAGAAACTGTCAAAACACAAAATGTATTCACCTGACAAAAATGTTTCATGTACACCTCCCAAAATAAGAGAAATTGCTCAGAGTTCAATGTCCTCATCATTGTGGACCTTGTATTCGATGCTAAGAACGCGTTTAAACATGAAAAACAATTATTTTTGTAATTCGCGACGGTAATGAAAGCTATTACAGTACTCAAACGGGTGCTGTAATGGCACTCTTTACAGCATCCGATGCTGTAATGAGATTTTAGTAANACCTGACAAAAATGTTTCATGTACACCTCCCAAAATAAGAGAAATTGCTCAGAGTTCAATGTCCTCATCATTGTGGACCTTGTATTCGATGCTAAGAACGCGTTTAAACATGAAAAACAATTATTTTTGTAATTCGCGACGGTAATGAAAGCTATTACAGCACTCAAACGGGTGCTGTAATGACACTCTTTACAGCATCCGATGCTGTAATGAGATTTTAGTAACATTTTATGGAATTAGTTCAAGTTGGTGACATTGGGTCATTAATTTTTCTAGTTGTCAATGTGACAATGTTTGTCTATGGATGTTTAAACACGTTCTTAACATCGAATACAAGGTCCACAATGATAAGGACATTGAACTCTGAGCAATTTCTCTTATTTTGGGAGGTGTACATGAAACATGTTTGTCAGGTGAATACGTTTTGTATTTTGACAGTTTTTATTTGTCAATTCAAATTTCTATTTTCAATTGTTAGGGTGTTACCAACTGCTACATACCTATTTTCCTACATTGTCAAAATTTATTTTATTTTTGAGGAAAAAAAAGGATAAAAACGCGAATTACAAAAAATAGCATAAAAAACACGTTTCATAAGACTTAAAGCACTCATTCATTGCACAACTTGAATTCGTGCATTTTAAACGTGTCTTACGAAACTTGTTTTTTAATATACTATTTCACTCTTAGATATTTTTGATTAGACGCATCGTTTTCGAGATATTTGCAAAAAAGATACAACCTCGATTTTGGAATATTTTCATTAACCGTAGCTGCCTATGAAAACAAATTGTAAGTAAAAACAACCTGATAGAAAAACATTTCTAAATATTGAAAGACGTTTACGTGAGACCGGAAATTTAACACAGAAGTGTGTATATAACGAGAATCTGAAGTCAGTTCGAACACCCTAATTAGAAGAAAACATTTTGGATTTTGTGGCAGATCGTAGTACTGCTAGTATTGTTGGTAGCAACAATTTAGACATTTCAGAATGTTCAAAGGTACGTCTTGATATGTTCTACATGAACAGCAATTGTATCCATAAATGTGTCGAGAGTACAAGAAATTAAACTTGCTGATCATCCGTTGCAAAAACATGATGGAGAAATGTACTATTGATGCTGCGTTTTTAGAAAAAAGTACTTTTTACAAATAACGATTAATTTGAGAAATGCTGAAGAATAATTGTACTGAAGAAAATCGAGATTTCATGCTACATTGAGTAATAATTTGACAGATTTCTTTTAAACGAACTTAAATCTTTTTCTGAATAACTCGAAAACGATGCGTCTAATCAAAAATTTGTAAGAGTAAAAATAATTTCAAAATGAAATAGGCTTTTAAAATCAGTTGTAAAATTTAATGGTTTACGACATAATAAAAAAATTTAAGGAAATAACCTTTGTAATCACCCTGCATAGCATTGATCCCGTGTTTGTATATTTTCAAAAGTAATCTTAAACGATTTATCATGGTAACATTACACCGTTTGCCAAATTTTATCTTTTTTTGACAAACCGTATTGAAAATATTTAAGAAAATATTTAAAAATTTCTACACTTTGATGTCCCATATCTTAACCATTTATGGTTAAGATTGTCAGTTAGGATTTTTCACTTCAAACATTGTAAAATCATTTCTCCATTATTTTATTACTAGTATACCATTATACATTGATAGGTTCCGAAAAACTGTGTACTGCACCAAGGAAAGTGGAATTGCAAAGATCACAATTCAGACATCAAGGGTAGTAGAAACTTCATAGCAGGGTTAGGTACTGAACGATGCAATGTCAGAAAAGTTTAGGATGTTGTGTGGATGACTAAGTCAACAGCAGCATATTCCAGACAACTACCACACGTCTTACCCATTGCAACCTCTGGATCTTGATACACTCTGAGAACATTAGCTCCTTATAGTAGCTGTATAGTTTTGTATAAGTCGTGGCATAATTTTAATCACAAATACTAGAGTGAAAATAATGACGATTCCTATAAAAATTTTTGGTCTAAACCTAAACAGTGATAAATCGTTTAAGATTACTTTTAAAAATATACTATATAGGTGTTCATAAAGATTATTTCTTTAAAAAATTTTTAGTATGTCATAAACCCTTAAATTTTCCAACTGATTCTAAAAATCTATTTCATTATAAAATTATTTTCACTCTTAGATATTTTTCATTAGACACATCGTTTTCGAGATATTTGCAAAAAAGGTACAACCTCGATTTTGAAATGTTTTCATTAATCGTAGGTGCCTATGGAAACAAACTGTAAGTAAAAACAACCTGATAGAAAAATACTTATAAATATTGACAGAAGAGTGTAAATAACGGGAATCTGAAATCTGAGGAATTAGAAGAAAACATTTTGGATTTTGTGGCAGATCGTAGTAGTGATAGTACAGCTCAGCAAATCCATCTTGGCCGGTCAGGTGCGCAGAAGAATATGTTGAAATGAGATAGGCGACTTCGTGAAATCACCGGCAGTAGGTATAGTGCTCGTCAAAAATTTAACATATGCACCGTAAGATTAAGAAAATTTCAGGAACACACAATAACCCAAATTTAAGCAGTTTGAAAATTATTAATTTTATTACGCTAACTTTATAGTAATTTTTGTTTGTGTAGATTTATTAATATTGTCTATTTAAATTTCCTT